GCAGACCCAGGAGTTGAGTGCAGATTTGAGCTCAGAATGCACTGCCTTTCTGCAAGCATGGGCTGCTGAATTTGGCTAAGCACACATGGCACATACCCAGTCTGTGTTTGTGTGTGGCCTGGATACTCAGCTCACTGGCTGAGTGCTGGTTAAGGCCAGCAATGTATCACAGTGGTAGAATACCTGACTAGCATGCATGTTTTCTGTTTCTGTTGCTCCGGTTTCAATCTCTTATGCCTCAAATAAAGAAGACATGTTGATATTTAGGTAGTGTTTGCATCTGTCCAACTCCCATACTAAAGAATGGCACCTTCACCTTCCTCTCTGGTAGGCATTAAGACAGTGACAGGCTAGATTTGGTCTCTAGTCTTGGGAAAGGGCTCACCAGTCTTGGCTCTGCAGGGTGACAAGTCATCCAGAAGGATCAAAGGCCTGCTCCTCTCCTTGTCAACAGAGAGCCGATATGTTGGTCTATGGTGTTCTGGAAGTTACTGAGTAGTCTACTTTTGTCTGCAGTCTGAGCTAGGTTCCAGCCTTTTACCCACCCCCTTCCTGCCCTGTCCACCCGCCGTCAGGTAGTGTATGGGTGGGCAGGGACACCAGAGCAGCTGTTGATGCCTCTTCTCTCCTCTTTGAAGGATCTGATGCTGCTGTCGTTGAGGGCTACTTCATCTATTAAACCCAATACACTTGTCGCAGCTGCTAAGCCCCCGTAAGCCGCCGGGCGCCGTGTTTGTGATGGGACTGACAGTGCATGGAGGAGGCTGATTATACACGATTCCATTTCGCGGGCCCAGCAATGTAATTTCACAGGGCGATCAGCGTTTGCATGTAATAGCAGGCTGTGCTGAGGTGTCAGAATATTAAAGGCGCTAATGGCAAAGCTCCCTGTTACACAGGGGGCCACCCGCCGCGCCTACAGCAGGGCTGTGCAGCAGGCCCGTCGCAGATGGCTGGCCACTAAGCTAATGGGGCAGCAGCCAAGGCGGGCAGAGCCACAAGAGGGGAAAGCCAGCCGGGAGCAGCTCGGCACCTGCTTCCCTGCGCATGGAAATTACAGCGGCCCAGGGGAAGGGAAGTGTGCGTGCCTGCCTGACAGGGTAGGGTGGGTTGGTTCAGTGGGTACAGCATCTTTCAATCCAACTCCACCTGTCCTCCTGGCTCAGCACTAAGTGACTGTCATGGACAGAACTTAGAAGTCATCTTCCTCTCCTTAGTAGTTCCTCCCACCTCCTCCACCCTCTGGCTGGAAACCCCAAGAGTTAGGTGCTAACTGCACATCTGGGCAGGTGGGCCTTGATGGCAGAGAGGTGCCATGGGAAAGCATCGACCGTTGGTAAACGGCTCATGTACAAGGGCTTGAAGAGAGCTCTTAAAACAGATTCCTATCCCACACTGATCAAGATTAGGAAGCCTCTAGGCCCTTGCCCCTTCCCCACAGGTTGAGGGAAGGGAGCAAGAAGAGGAAGCCTCTCCCCACTCCTTCCCTTCTCTTTTGTCTTGGCTGCATCTTCTGTGAGGACTTAAGTACTCCCTATTGGCTATACTCAGGCCTTCCAGTAACACTCCTCCAGAAGGCTTTCCTAGCCTCCTCCAGCCTCACACAGGGCTCAGCCTCCTGGTCTGACTGATTGCCAGGTGGCAGCCTTGACCTTCCAACCAGAATCCTTGCAATATAACTTGTATACCTTGGCCTGAGTGAGACTCCTGGAAGAGCTCTGCTAGGTTGTTTACAGATGCAGTCTCTTTAGGAGAATAGCAGGATGGGCAGTCACTGGAGGGAGGGGCTGAGGCATGTGAGCACCTACACCAAGGTATGCAGATGTGACGTCCAGAGTACCCGGTGATGGGAACACAAGTTGCATTGCTCTAAGAGCCTCTTGTGTCTCTGTGTTGCCTGTGACTGCTAGCTGTGCCTGAGAAATTCCAAAATGACGGAGGTTGGTTTGGTTTTTGGTTTTTGGTTT